TAATCAGCAGCCTGAGTGATATTTCGACGAAGCTCGTCCAATGTCACAATGGGTTTTGAGTAGACCCTGTTTTTAAGACAACCCCAATAGAAGAAGTCCAGGGGGTTCAAATCGGGTGAACGGGGTGGCCATAAGATAGGACCAAGTCGCCCGATCCAACGCCCTGGATACTCTTGATTTAAATATTCTCGCACAGGACGGGCATAATGTGCTGGGCAACCATCATTTTGGAACCACATGTTTTGAAGATCACTTAAGGGCACGTCGTTTAACAATTCTTGCAAGTCATTTTGTAAAAAGTTTAAATAACTATTGCCATCTAAGTTTCCTTGTAACTCAAAGGGCCCAATTACTTTTCCATTTAATATGCCGGTCCATAGGTTAACCTTGAATTGATATTGGGATTTGTCTTGTCTCATCAAGTGTGGATTTTCATTACTCCAACTATGTAGATTGTGAAGATTTAAATACCCATCTTTCTTGCACGTTGTTTCATCCGACCATAGAATTTTGTCTAGGAAGTGGGGATCTTCACTGTGCCTTTGCAGCATTACACGGCAAAATGTGACCCGTAGCGGATAGTCCCGCGGTAATAACGTCTGCACACGCCTGTAGTGATATGGGTGAAGCTTGTGACGTTTTAATATTCGATGTGCAGAACTTTTCGGGATTCCTGTAGCTTCTTCTATGGCACGTACCGAAGTAGTCGAGTCATTTTCTATCTCCTTGAGAACTTCTTCATCACGATCCAATCTAGATCTTCCAGCGCTGCTCCTATTGGATGGCATACGACCCTCCAAAAACGCTTGATGCACATTAATAAACACTCGATAATCAGGATATCTTTGAGCATTTGGGTATCTTTCTGGATACAGTCTGCTAGCAGCGTTAGCATTACATCGGCATTCTCCATAGATTAAATGCATATTAGCGTATTCCTGTGGTGTGTACGGTTGCGGCATGTTAAACGCCAAACAGTCCAAAATGCGCCAGAACTCTAAATCACAAAACACACAATCGTAGTCCAAGATAATGCCAGGTCAGTTCAGTTTGCAGATCACTTCCAGTCCAAATAATGCCAGGTCAGTTAAGTTTGCAGGTCGATTCCAGTCCAAAAAGCCAAGCCAAAAGTCGATAGTATGTACGAGGGCCACGTAAGTTGAATTGGGTACGGTGCGCAGTAAACAAAGGAGCAGAGCGTACTGAACCGACTTGCTGAGAATAATAACAGCTTCTCTACCTGCCCTGTTGTTGTCTCTTTTTAACGTAAATATCTCTATCTATCTATCTCTCTCTAACATCTAAGGTATTAATGCCCCATTCGAATTCCTAGAAATTGTAACAGGAACCCATTTTGGGCATGTAGTAAAAGTGATTACTGACAATTACAATTTAAGGAATTTGGCCCCTGTTAAGAAATAATAGGCCCATATTTTTTTATAACTTCTTTTCCTAGAGTATTATACCATTTTGGAATATTGGTTAGTTGCGTCAATTATTAAAAAAACTTGCCATACTAGTGTTCATACTTTTTTTTTACACCACGATAAGTTAAATTTGGTTAAAAGTAAAAGTCTTCAAAAAATTTAGGGAATAAAATAAGTTTCATTAATTTTCGTGATAAAACAAGAGTTATTCTGGAGTTTTTAAGAATTGTGGTAGATAGCAGTACTATTCAGGTTGCCTATAAAAAAAAAAAGAAAAAAATATTTAAAAAATTGTGGTCATGGTAGTGAAAAATATCATAAACGGTCTCAATTTCTGAAGAATTTCATTTTTTTTATATAACTTAAAATATAATTGGGATATATTTTTTTTTCTTTTTTTACCCGATTAGTCCGGGGCAGGTCTATCCTCCGGTGTTGGCTTATCGTTGAATTTTGGGACACGTTGTATATAACTACTTACCATTTTAACCGACTACAAAAAAGGAGGAGGTACTCAATTAGACTGTATTTTTGTGTTACTTCAGAACTTTTTTCTAGGTGGACCGATTTTATGATTATTTTTTTATTTGAAAGCTGGTGCTTCTCATGTAGTCCCATATAAATTTGATCAAGATCTGACAGTAGTTTTGGAGTTATATTTAATAATGCGTATTAATATTGACGTCGATTGTACAAAATTGTTAATTTCATTAGTTGTCTCTCTTCCTCTCTTTTTAAAAAACCTTACCTCCACACTAGGATTTTCTCCTGTATCGCAGAGGCAGTTTACATACATAGAACATACCCAGAACAATTATTTGTAGCCCATACAACGGAGCAAGTCGTCTGGGAATGAACCCGCGGCCCTTAGCGCTGCAACTCATTATTAAGCCACTGCGCCACGGAGTCGTCACTTGTCTGTTTGACATTTTTTGCTATTTACAAACATGCGACACGCAACTTCATTATTAATGAAAGAGTGGCAATGAGAAGTGCTGCTACTCTCAATAAGGTCTTGGTCTTCAATTAAGGTTGCATTATAGGTACGCGAAAAAATCGAAAACTAATCAAATAACAAATCTGTAACTATGATGCCACTAACTAAGTACCTAATTATCTAGATCTACCTATAAATAATAATATATTACCTTTCAGTATCCTTAGGAACAGTAAAAAATGAAAAGTCAACATTCCTATCGTTATTTAAGCACCCGTATGCTATGCCTTTTGGCTTTTTGAGACGCCATACTTGAATGAAAACTCAAAAATAAATATCAAAAGTGCCTAAATACTTATTAAAGAAAAATATTTTTATATTAACTGTAAAATAATTTACATGTTTTTAAGTTTTATGTAATAATTTTATGCTAACGTAAGGCGCGCATCAGCTCGAGTGGGCGCGTGACAACCTCACCGAATTAGTTCCCCCCCCCCCCACTCGATTTCACAAAATTCTTCCGGGTTGGTCCTTTTCGAGAGTTGGTAGCCCTACATAGAGCTCTAAACTTAATGTTTTTATTGTAGCTTAACCCAAAATCTGTCGATCTAGTAAAAAAATAAAAAGGGTAATCGGGGTTGTTTTTGCAGTAATTATTTAGACTTAAATATTTCTTTTAAAGTTACGAGTACGTAAAGCCATTTTTTCGTAATGTAAACGATAGATAATATTGTTGTCCTCCGAATAAGCCTATTTTTATCTCATTAAGACCAAAACTTTGAGAGATATGATATTTTTTTGTACACAAGTAGACATACAGAGAGAACATACTCCCTCTACACGAGTAGAGAATATCTCCACAGACTAACTAGGAGATTCTACAATATCTCAAGAAACTGTAAACAGATTAATAGATTGCAAGAATACTTATTTTAAGTCATTTATTTAAGCTTTACCACTGGTTCAGAAAGCTAGCCAGCAAGAAACCCAGTGGGACTTTTTTTAACATTTAATTACTATATAATATTCTCTACAATTAAATATGAAAACATTTAGAAACAGCAAGTACAAACACTGTGCAACTAATAATTAATTTTTATGAACTAATTTGTTGCACTGTATTAAAAGAAAATATCTGTATAATTCCAATTTATCATATAAAATTTGCATAGTTATCTCTACTTATTGCTACAATCATTTGATTTTCAGCCAAAAACTAATCTCCGGTCAGACAATACATATAGTACTCGTAATCGAAACAGTATGCCTATAGGCTGATCAGACAGGGTTGCTATTATATCATGTAATTACTTTCTTGAAGCACAGAATAAATTACCCGCAATCTTAGTCGATTTGTTCCTCATATAACACTTAATTACATAATCGGAGGTAAACTAGCGTGCAGTGCCACAGATAAAAATTTGAATAACAAAACAACTTACTACTTAAGAAAACAACTTACAAAATACAACCAGTTTTATAAGCTATTAACTTTTTGTACATGTCTTTTTGAAAATTCTGTTACAGCTGGTATTTTCTTAAGCTATCTATTGTTAGTTTACCAAGTAAAGTGTCTGACACAACTGCTTCTAATAATCGACCTTTTTGACTAAAACATTTACACTTGATATGCTGCTTCTATCCATGTTATGGATGAGCAGAATTATACAATTAATATTTTTATATCAATAATAGTTAAGAAGTATATATGGAATTTGATATTGTTATCATCATTACAGGCCTTCACAAGTCCACTGCTGAACATAGACCTTACCCAAGGAATGCCACAAAACACGGTACTGAGCCACCTGTATCCATGTCTTACCGGGTCATCACTCCATCTAGTGGGGGGATGTCCTACACTTTGCCTGTGGGACAAGTTTGATAAAAACAATATTAATTAAATAAAAGTTAAGTAGTTCTGTAACTTTAAGATATTTTTTTATACTGATGATGACATACTATGATAAAACATTCTTTAGACAAAGGTAGTATCCATAAATTATAAGACAAAATATTAATTATCCTTTATTTAACCTATGTACTTCAGTCTTGGAAAAATACTTACAAATTCAGACTAAAATCAGTTGGAAATTGGATTATTGGTCACATTTATTTCTAGTAGCCTTATACTATTCATAAACAGTTAACTACATTTAACCAGTTTTTATTATATTAATTTTGATATGAACATTATAATTGTTGACATTGTTTATGAAATTGTAAACAAATATATTTAAAAAAAAATTATAACAATAATAAATCAGCATGGTGTAAGTAACACACCATGTAACACATAAGTACATCCTTTATTCTTCTTACTTAATACTTATATTAAGTTCCAAGATGCTTAACTCAACAGGTTTGTCACGAATTATTTGTTTGCCGCCACAGCTAGAAGTTTTCGAAAATTAGTGTTGCAGTGAATCAGTTAAAATATCACCAATAGCTTTCATCAACTTAGCAAATTTTATATAGTTCCATGTTTATTATTTTTGACAGAAGACAAATATATACATAAACTCTCACTCATGTCAACATATCACCCAGAGGCATCCAGATTTTCAATTGGCACAATCCTGAGAGTTTTGACAAATTTCTGTTTTTAGGTTCTAAGAAACAGTAATAATTTAAGTTCAATGACATATATTAGGGCACTCTAAAACATAATGTCTGTAATTTTTTAAAGACGCTTGACTGACAAGTTTCTTATTTGGTTCATGAAGCCATTCATCTGATCCATCACAGCAGTCACAAATTCCATCATTAACTTTGCTTGATGGTACAGTGAGAAAAGAAACAGATTTTTTATGTTGATATTGACAAAAGAATGTACCATTAGGGCAAGCACTTGTGCTTGGCTCATCAGTACTATCATCACAATCACAGAAATCATCGTTTAACCTCTCAAACGGTATTCGTATCTTGGAAGTTCTACATTCAAATTCATTGTTGGAATTTGGCCGATAAAACGGCATATGTAAATAGTGTACTCCTCTTATAAGACCATTTTCATTTATAAATCTGTCGTCTTCTGATCTTAAATGAATAGAGTTTTTAATTTTTTGATGATCTAACACTGGAATTATTCTGTTACCGTTAACGGTCTCCGACGTAATTGTTAAGAAAAAGTATAATTGGTATAAAATAAAAGACACCACCACACACACAGTCAAAATGATAACATTCTTCTTTTTCTTTAGACCCATTTTCTTTGATTTAAATAAAATTATTTGCGAAGTTTAATTTTTTGAACATTGTGCGATTAAAAACGCAATTAGCTCTATTAAAAATCATTTGAACTAGAACTGATAAAAGCGCACCGCAAAATAAATATCATTCAGTCAGTGTCAATGTCAGTGTCAGCTGTCAGCCACTGTCACAGACTACAAACCAAAGAGGATACTGTGCATTGTCAACAGTTGAACTATGTAGGAGTTTTGGCCGGAACTTGATCGGCGACGGTTTGCTGCTCCTGTATTATAGTTTTAATAATAGTTTGAAGCGGATTTTGATATGTAAAAGTGGTGCGATTTTATGTATTAACTGTCTACACATGTGAAATATTAGTGGAAACGGTGAAAGAAGTGCTCTGATGGTGATGGATTCTCAAGATAAGCTGTTTGTTTGCATAGGCACCTTTAGATACCATCGCCAACTTTCAGCTGCCTGCTGGCTCAAGTTGCCGTCAAAATCTCCCAAGGGCTGCACAATGTGACGCATCAACATATTGTGAAGCAGTGAACTATGAAGGATAATTATACATAAAGACAAGGCTGTATGGCATAGCTCCTTTGCCTGCTCTCTCGAGCGAATAATAAAAACAACAACAACAATTAATTAAACTATGTAGGTAGCTCTCCATCAGATTCAAGTTCTAAAACCTCTAACAAAATATGGACCCATATATGGATTTTAAATCATCTGAAATAAACAATTTTTATTTTTATTTTATTCATTATTACATGTTGTATAACAAAATATAAAATCTTTATGATAATAATCAATCAACAACATACAATAATTAGTAAAACAACAAGTCCATTTATCCAATTAAAATTTGAATTAAATCGTCGTCTATCAACATTAATTTCCATCAATTTCCATCATCATCCTTACAATTGTACCACAAAATTTGTATTTCACTACTTGATCAAGCCTAGAAGACTGCAAAGAAGTGGACGATTTGAATGACAAGCTCGTGGAAACTGTCCATGCGGTCGGAGCTAAGTTCTGCAAGACCCGCCGCAGAAGAACACAAACTCTCCGATCACACTCTTAATCTCATGGCTGTTAGACGGGGGATGAAGCTACATTCTTCAACAGATTTGACAGCATACAGGCAACTGAACAGACAGATCTCCAAATGCATGCGGCGGGACTTACGCAACTTCAATACAGCTCGTATTGAAGAAGCTATCGAGCGGAACCAAGGCTCCAAAGTCTTTGCTAGAGATCTGTCTGCCAGAAAGAGCCAACTGTCAAAGCTGAAGACCGAATGTGGCAGCATCGTTTCCGGGGCACCTGAGATTTTGAGTGAGATTGAGAGGTTCTATGGGCAGCTGTACACGTCATCGTTGGAGCCGCACGCAAGTGTAACGATCCAAGAGCGAGTCTTATCCGACATTATTCCGATGATATCCCGGACGTCACTCTGAGCGAGATTAGAATGGCTCTACAGCACCTTAAAAACGGCAAGGCCCCAGGCGAGGATGGAATTACAGCGGAGCTTCTGAAAGCGGGTGGAAAAACGGTACTTGAAGTCCTTCAGAAGCTCTTTAATTCCGTCCTCCATGGTGGCATTACACCGGAGGCGTGGAGCAGAAGTGCGGTGGTCTTGTTCTTCAAGAAAGGTGACAACGCTCTCTTGAAGAACTACAGACCGATTTCCCTTCTGAGCCGCGTCTACGTGCTGTTTTCGAGAGTCATTACGAATCGTCTCGCGCGCAGACTTAACGTCTTCCAGCCTCCCGAACAAGCCGGTTTCCGAAAAGGCTTTAGCACCATAGACCACATACATACCCTTCGGCAAATTGTACAGAAGTCCGAGGAGTACAATTTGCCACTATGTCTGGCGTATGTGGACTATGAGAAAGCCTTTGATTCCGTCGAAATTTGGGCGGTGCTGCAGTCCCTTCAGCGATGCCAAGTTGACTGTCGGTATATCGAAATGTTGAAGTGCTTGTATAGTAGGGCTACGATGGCTATCCGAGTACAGAACCAGAGTACGATACCTATCCAATTGCAGAGAGGTGTAAGACAGGGTGACGTCATATCTCCGAAACTCTTTACCGCTGCATTGGAAGACGTTTTCAAGCTTCTGGACTGGAAAGGATACGGTATCAACATCAATGGCGAGTACATCACTCACCATCGATATACCGACGATATAGTCCTTATGGCAGAATCGCTGGAGGACTTAAGCACTATGCTCAATGACCTCAATAGTGTTTCCCAACGGATAGGTCTTAAGATGAACATGGACAAAACAAAGATCATGTTTAATGTCCTTGTCACACCTATGCCGGTAGTTGTTGGGAACACTAAGCTCGAAGTTGTTGACGAGTATGTTTACCTGGGACAAATAGTCCGACTAGGTAAGTCCAACTTCGACCGAGAGGTCAATCGACGGATTCAACTCGGTTGGGCAGCGTTCGGGAAATTACGGCACATCTTCTCGTCAGGTATACCTCAAAACTTGAAAACGAGACTGTACACCCAGTGCGTGTTGCCAGTGATGACATACAGAACTGAGACGTGGTTTTTCACTGCTGGCCGTATGAGGAAGCTCAAGGTCGTTCAGCGAGCTATGGAGAGGGCTGTGCTCGGAGTTTCTCTGCGTGATAAACTTAGAAATGAGGATATCCGCAGTAGAACCAGAGTGACCGACATAGCCCAACGGATTAGTAAGCTGAAGTGGCAATGAGCCGGCCATATAGCTCGAAGAACCGACAACCGATGGGGAAGAAAGGTTTTCGAGTGGCACCCTCGTACCGGCAGGTGAAGTGTAGGGCGTCCCGGGTAGTCGATGGATGCAGGTGGCTCAGAACCGTGCTTTGTGGCATTCTTTGGGGGAAGTCTATGTTCAGCAGTGGACTTATGAAGGGCTGTAATGATGATGATGATGATGACTTGATCAATAGCAATTTCAATTACTTTACTACCAATCCTTTTTTTCTTTTTTTTTTGTCTTTTGGTCTTTAAGCCAAGAATCTAGAAACATTTGCGTATGCTGTGGTTTCAGCATAGTGACGTATGACCTCGCGAAAGAAATACGCTATTATTATAATATATTGTACATATTAGTAGTATAGTATGTAGTAACGAGGGCCACTTCACCAAAAAGACAAAAACGGGATACAAAAACAGGAGTATCGATAACAGTGGAAGAGTTGGTGTTTAATCATCCGTATAGAGCAAAGTTCGACGTTAAAATATCGTGTTAATTGTCAACTTTGCAACTATATCTAACAAAAACCCAACATAAAAAAGAAACTTTTACGGAGGAGAAACAAATGAGAAATAGATAATTTTAAAATAAATAATGAATTCCCTAAAAATAAACAGACTGTGTCATACTGCAGCTCAGGTTTTTAAGACGGCAGCACTGCTCATGCCTACTCTGTAGTTGAAAGCTAAGGTCTCCTATGCGTTAGGTTCAGAAGGGCTAGAACCCAGAGCCGTAAATAAAGTTTTAAAAAAAGTCTCGAATGCGTAGTGTCCTCTTCCTGCATAGGACAGTTACTATACTCTTTGGTGTCCTCCTAAAGCCCGCTTTTCACTACGGGATATAATATAATATATATTACATTTCTAGATATAAATTAATATCGCTCACTATACATTTCATATGGAACCGTTTACACTGAGCTATAATATATATTACATCTCAAGCTATAAATATTTTTTCGATCTACCGAGCGATATTTTCATATTATATTACGCCCCCTGTACCCCGCACACCGTTCCGCGCCCCCGCAGAACGGTGTAAGCGGTAAAGGGGGTAATCCAATGACCAATGACGAACGCACACTGTTTAAAAGATATATATGTCACAGTGTGAAAGCCAATCGCGGGATATAATTTATATTATATCCCATAATAGTGAAAAGCGGGCTTAATCGTAGTCACAGAACACAATTATTACTCTCTACTAGCTTGTCACATTAGCTTGCAGTTGCAGCTTGCTACATATTTTTTATCTATGTGTAGTAGTCTGTGGTCTGTCGTCTCGAAGGTCTCGATTATACTCTCTTTGGCTACATACTTGCTACATATATATTTATCTATGGCTACATATATATTTATCTATGCTCTTTGGGTCGCGAAAACTCGAGATTAGCACGTTGGTTAGCCGCTTATTGGTATAAAACCTAAAACCAACTACTTTTGCGATAGTACGCAGCAACTATTAAATTTTTAATAAACTATTTAAATTCTCATAATTAATATGACTGTGGAAGAGGGAATTGATATCTCGGAAGCAGGAGATCGCGGAGTATTAAAAAAAATTATAAAAGAGGGTGAAGGAACCGACACTCCTAACCGTGGTTGTCAGGTCACTGTACATTACACTGGAAAGCTCTTGGATGGCACCAAATTTGATTCAAGCAAGGATAGGAACGAGCCTTTTGAGTTTAAGCTTGGCAAAGGTAAAACTTTTTAAATAATTTCTTTTAAGTGAATGATTTGTATATACTATAATGACTACATATTAGCATCATCATGACAGCCTTTTGCAATTTTTTTATAACTGGCTTTACGGCTCGGTGTTCTAGGGGTTCTAGCCCTTCTGAGCCTGAAATTACAATGTATACTTATCCTTCATAGTACATTGCTTCACATATGTTGAAGCGTCATATTGTGCAGCCCTTGGAGAATTTGACTGCAACTTGAGCCAGCAGACAGCTGACAGTTGGCGAGGGTATCTCAAGGCTCCTTATCAGACAGACACATTATCTTGAAAATCACATCACCATCAGATCATTTATTTCACCATTTCCACTAATAGTTCACATGCACATATACTTAATACACAAAAATCGCACCACTTTTACATATCAATTTCCTTCAAACTGTTATTTAAACAATAATACAGGAGCAGCAATAAGCCACCGGTTAGGTTCTCGCCAAAACCCCCCAGCATTTTGCAAGTAAACTGCTGAACACAGACCAACGACTTCCTTATGCATGTGTTACCAGTTCGTCA